TTGTAACCACTACCGTAAGCACCGTACAGTTCTAAAATCAATGTTACTTTAATACAGTCAGCTGAAGTCCTTGAGTTGAACCCACCGTGTGTGAATTCTGTCTTTGCCTTTTAGAAAATGTATGACATTTGTCAAGTAACTGGTCTCTGATCTTTAGTTTCCTCATCTCCAAATGAGCTCTATAACAGTGTGCGTCTTAAAGATGTTGTCAGGGTTAAATATTTTAATTCTATGATGAGTCTGGGACCTAGTAGTGACTTTCTAACCTTTAGATCTCCCTCCTCATAGAATTAAACATAGTGTTGAGTGCTCAGGGTGCCTATCATTAATTATTGCTTATTTGGGAAGTTTTAGAGGTGGCGTCTTTGTAAGACATAATGAAGTAATTTACTGTAAATTCATACTTTTCATCTACGATGTTCAAATTTCGGAAGACTCATTTCCCCCTTTTTAGATGTGAGATAAGTATCTTCAACTCAGTTGGGGAACCATCCTTATTTTTATACAAGTTATAGCTATTTTAAGAGCAAAACTTGTTTTGTTATTCTATCACAAATACGAAAACAAATGTTAACATGATTGTTTCTGAATCAGAATACCTTTGGTTACAAGTAGCAGAAAATCCAACTCAAAAGTAGTTCAAACAATAGAGAATTTATTTTTGGTAACAAGACCGGAAGCCTAGAAAGTCCAGAATCGGTCAATTCAGTAGCTCAGTGATGTCATCAAAGGTCCTATTCTTTCAATGATTGGCTGGAGTCTCCTCTCTGTGTTGGCTTGCACCAGGGACATGTCATGGTGACAAGAGGCCTGCAGCTGTCTCATGCATCATTTTCAGGTATGGCAACTTTTAGGAGAAGAGATCATTTCTTCCTGGGAACTCTTCAAGAATGAGAAAGTCCTCAGAAGTACTCTGGAAGGTGCCCCTCGCCTCCTTCTGCCAACCTGCCTCATGGGCACGCACAGATGTGTCAGAGAGAGGAAGAGGGACCTCTTTACTGACAACCGCCAGTCGAGATCCACTTCTTGTAATTTGTTATACTCACAGTTAACAACAGACAGGTAGGTTAGGTAATGATGTAACAAATAAATCATCCCCAGATTTCAGTGGCTTAAAACAAGAAAGGTCTGTCTGTCTGTGTATCTAACCATCTATCTATCTGTCTATCTATCTGGACACAATACCTTTATTTTATCTATTTACTTTTATGTGGTGCTGAGGATCAAACCCAGTGCCTCACATGTTCCAGGCGAGTGGTCTACCACTGAGCCACAACCCCAGCCCTAGGAAGGTTTATTTTTGCTCATCCCACATACCCCCGCAAAGTTCAAAGGAGTGTTAGGAGCTCTGCTCATGTTAGTGACTCAGGGACTCAGGCTGATGGAGTAGCCACCATGTCAAATATGCCCCAGGGACAGGGAGCTTTGGGTGAATCTTCATGGCAGCAGTCACATGTTCCATCAAGAAGCCACACATGTTGGCGGAGGCTGTGGCTCAGTGGTGGAGCACTTGCCTGGCATACCTGAGGCACTGGGTTTGATCCTCATTGCCACATAAAAATAAAATAAAGGTATTAGAAAAAAAAATCATGTAATACTTTAAAAAAGAAAAAGCAACACATGAACTTCTGTCACCTTTTATTGATCCAGATTAATTTCATTAATTCCAAATCCCCAACCCTTGGGAGAGCTGGAAAGTGTGGTCCTCCCAGGTCTCCTGAGAGACGTACCAGAACCAGTATCAGTCATCAGTATTTTTGAAGGCTGCAGAGATGTGTCAATGTATATCCCTACATTTCAACTCAAGGGGAGACATGTTCCAAAGCAACTATTAGTTTTCATTTGTAATAAATAATGGAAATGTTGGGCTGGGATTGTAGCTCAGTGGCAGAGTGCTTGCCTAGCGTGTGTGAGGCACTGGGTTTGATCCTTGGTACCACATAAAAATAAACAAATAAAATAAAGGCGTGCTGTCCATTTACAACTACGAAAAAAAAAATAATGGAAATGTTTCCCACTCAGGGTGTTGCTCTAGAATCTGGTGTTATTACAAATACAGTTTTATGAGGGGTAACAACAGCTGCTTGTCGCATGGCTTTGAACCATGATTTGGCTTTACTGTCATGTTAAGGGTCATGTTTTGGTAAAATGGAGACTTTTCTAAATCTACTGTGTTCTCACCTACTGTGGAAGGATGGATGAGGATAATAAACATATAATTCTTGGGGGTGTGTTTCCAACAACCGACTCTAATTTTACCTACTTTTAAATTCATGAATCTTCTGTCCACATGTTTTGTGATCATAGATTTTTATGTTTTTAAGAATTTAAAAAAAATTTTAAACATTGGGTCATTTCTATTTATTCAGCATGAATAATGTCCTACTCCTTTTTTTTTTTTAAATCAAGAACATCATATGAAGGGTTCCTAACTTAATATTGGATATTTAGGGTTTGCCAATATTTGATATTATAAGCAACGTTTTGATGAACATCTCTCTGTATTGATCTTTGTGAGCATAATGTTCATTGCACCATCTGTCCCCCAGAGAATGTGTTCATTAGCACAGTGAACAAGCACATCTTACCACCTTAGTTTGATATGGATTCTGAGTACTGCAGCCATGTCTCTCACCTAAAAGATCTCAGTAAGCCCATGGGCTCCTTAACACATCAGGCTTCAATGGCAAGACTGGCAAAGCGAAAGTGTTATGTTACAGAAAATGGAGTGTGAAGTCCAGCCACTCTTTTTCATTGGTGCTAATAATGATACCAAGTAACTGAATGGACAGTTCACTGTAGGCCCTTGAGTAGTAGTTGTTTTATCTATCTATCTATCTATCTATCTATCTATCTATCTATCTATCTATCTATCTATCTATCTATTTATCTATCTATCTATCTATCATCTATCATCTATCTGTCTATCTATTTTCCTTTTGCTCTAGCCAAACCTCAGAACAAATAGAGTGAGCTGATATTTTTACCCTGAGAAAAATGAGTGTGGGAGAGGTTTGTCTAAGTTTAAACAGTTACTCAGTCCCTTCAACTGTTATCAGACTTTGAGGATTTAGCTTGATTTTATTTTATTAACTGTCTAGTTTTTAAGGCTTGTTCCCTGAAGATATTACCTGTACCTGTAGTTTTTAAGGTGCTGTTCACTGTCTTCCACTTTGTACAACACTGGCTTAAGTAGACCTTTATAGTCTTTCCTTTATACTACATATGCCTCCCAAATCTTTGCATGATTAGAGACCTAACTCACAGAAAAATTCAGAAAGTGCATGTGAATGAAGGAATGACCAATGTGAGTCTGTCAAGCTTGGCTAAAAACTCCCTGTGTAGACAAGGGCAGAACAGGGAGGTGTGCTGTACACAGCCCACCACTGTCTGCACACGGGTAGAACTAAGTGTTCTTACCTAAATGGAAGAGAAAAATGTTCAAAATGACTGTTTATCCCAATTAAAAATAGTTACCTGCTGATTGGAGAAAATCTAGACCGTACAGAAAAATATAAATAAGAAAATAAAATTCACTTCAAATTTCAGCAATAGATGTTGTTTTAACCAGTCATTCTTTTTAAAGGCATTGATACACATAATTTGCGCAGCTGTAATCACATATACTTTTGTATCCTGGTTTTTAACTTTTTATTATGCCCATTAAAATGCTTTCAGAAAGACACTATTTGCCTCATATTTTTCCCATTGTAGGAAGGGTCTTAATTCATGATTGAATATTTGGGGTCTGTCGGTGTTTGGTATTATAAATAGTGTTGTGATGAACATCTTCCTATATAAATCTCCGTGAGCATGACTTTCAATGCACCATCTGTGCCCCAGAGCCCCTTGATTGGTGACACGCACCTCTACTAACTGACATTGGACACGTGAAACTGGAACTATGCAGCCAGAGCTTGTCAGGAAGACAAATAGGGTAGCAGTGGCCTGTCTCACTTTCATAAAGCAGACTGGAAACAACTATGATTTTGCAGGCCATTTGTTTGGTTAGAAGCTGTTTGCCGCATTGATTCCACTCATGATGTATTCTGAAAGAATGAAGGTGACCTTAGAGAGAGCCAGCCATTTGGAATCCAATTAATCAAGCTTCAGGGAAGTTTGGGCATCCAACAGCAACCCGAAATATCACGATCTGTCAGATTCTTGTTACTCAGAATTAGAGTCTAGGAAGGGATGTGGATTAGGTGTAGCCTGTGGGTAGTCTTCTGGAGACAACAGAAGAGCTCAATCATCAAAACTAAGCAGTGTTTGTTATAGGAATTGAAGGGTTTTTATACAAAAAACAAAAACAAAAACAAAATTGTATTCTCAAATTTAGTGAGTTTTACTGAAGACTGCCATGTACAGGAAACCTTAGTTAAATCTGAGTGTCATCTCACCTGAGCTCTAGAATTTTAAGATAGTAGTTTTAGAATCAAGCTTGTGTCTTTGCTCCCTGGACATCTGAAATATATAATCTGCTATTCATAAAGTTCTTTAAATGGAGGGGTTCACTTATTTTGTCAGTATGTTGCAGAACCAACAAAAATTAAAATCTGTATTTAAAAAAAAAGACACGAATTGAATTTTCAGTTACTTAAGCTACAAGCATGAATGCTTAGCATTCATCTCTAACAGCCTAAGAGGAAAAAGCTTTTTACCTTTGATCTAGAATTTATTTAATCTTCTAGGACAGAGTTGGAGAGTCTAGGTCCAAATTCCATGTATTTAGTATGCTCCAGTTTTACTCTTTGTTTCATGATGATAATTTTATCACTAGCTCTTAACACCTTTTGTACTAAATTGCTATATTAATATTAATATCAGACTGTGAAAAATTCAGCTGGTAAGTGGTATGCAAATTAGCCTAATGCAAACTTTAATGGATTAGTGCACTCAAAAATTTCTTTGAGACAAAGGTAACTGGAATTGAAAAAAGACCAACTAATCAACATTAAATGGAAAGATTGCTACAAGTAAAATAATAAAATGCTGCAAAGCAAGTGTGACTATTTTAATCAAACAATATGAATGTAATTGCTGGTATAACCCTTGGATTATATGAGGGGCTGTAAACAGGAATTATTTTTGTTCCCAGTCTCAGTGATAAGAGTTGAATAGCATCTCCCCCCACAAAGTACGCTGAAGTCATTACCCCTGGGACCTGTAAATTTGACCTTATTTTAGAATAGGGTCTTTGAAGATGCAATAAAGTTAAGACAAGGTCATCAGAGTGGGTCTAATCCAATATGATTAATGTACTTATAAGGCAATGGAATTTGGGCCGCCATTCACAGAAGAAAGATGGCAAAGAGGCTGTGTGATGGTGGAGGCAGAAAATGGAGTGCCGCGTCTCCAAACAAAAGAATGTCTTCCACACGGTGGGGAATTTCAGGGAGTGGTAGAAGGAGGAAGGCAGCTTCCACTCACTCTGGGTGGATGTTGACTGGCTGAGGTTTTGAGATCAGTTATAAACTCAGGGTCAGCTGTTTGGTGGCTCATCTCTAAACCAGAGGTTTGCAAAATGTGACTGCCTGATGGCCATCAGCAGTACCGCCTGTGATGCTGTTAGAAATACCAGTTCTCATGCCCCAATTCAGACTTGCTGATCAGAAATCAGAAGCAAGCCCACAGAATATGTGTTAACGCACCCTCTAGGTGGTTCTGAAGCACCCTGATATTTGAGAACTGCTGTTCTAACGATGCCTCTCTTTCCCCATTCAAAACGACACCCTGACTTTTCTAAGAAACAAGTGTCTACTTCATGTGGCTGAATAAAATGATTTGACTTACTTAAAAAATTATTCCTTCAAAATTCTCTGACAATTTTCTTTGCTTATTTGCAATTTTCAGATACTTTAGCTTAAAAGCTTTGTGATACATTTTAGCTGGAGCAAAGAGAATCTCTTTTATCCTGCCTCAAGAATGAAACTCCAGAAGTTTATTTTTAACTACTTTCAACAAGGTGATTTCCACTTGAGTCCAATCTTGCTTAAAGTGATGTTTACTGCTATGGAATATTCCTTGACCAAGATGAGGCTTAAGAATGGGATCCACTCTTGCCTGCTTTGTTCCCTTCACAGTAATGTTCAACATCAAACTTACTACACATTTTACATGCTTGTTTTGTTTTTGATATTTCTAAATCCATGTGAAGGTGAGTCGTATGTAGGGAGGAGTTTTGTCTACATAATGCTGATTCCCCCAGACCTTGACCAGTATTTGGTACAATGCAGTCACTCAAAAGTTATTTGCTAAATGAATATGTGGATGTTCTTAGTTTTCCAGAATGTGTTTTACAGGTTCTGTAGATTTCAATGTTTATTAATTCATCAAAATGAAAATCATGATTTTTGTTCTTATTTTAATTGTGAGGATGCTTCGTTTCATAGGATCCTCAGAAAATCAATTATTTTTAAGTAACCCGAACAAAAGAATTTGTTAGATGGATGTGGAAATATAACTCAGGGGTACACTCTAGGGTGACATAGATTGGAACATAATAGAGGAGGCTAAAACAGGAGAATTAGAGGCGATTTATGATATAAAACTAACACATAAGAATTTTGCAGTAACTTCTGGCCATGTGAACATGTCTTTTTTAGGGCTTATGTTTATATACAAATCTGAAAGTAACAGTGCTAGGCCAAGCACCTCCCAGGGTGCAGTATTTCCACCTTCCTGTCTGCACACCTCACGGCTCCCACTTCACAGATGTTCGCTGTTTTCTCGCGTGTTGAGGATCCAATTTTGATACAGTAGAGTTGGTTTCCACCCTTGAAGCACTTGGGGGGCAAGAGGCAGACACAACTGGAAGTGGAAGCTACGATGAGAGAGAGAGGGAGAGAGACAGTGTGACTTATCACAGGGTGTTATGGTTTGGAGATGAGGTGTCCCTGATAGCTCAGGTGAGACAAAATGGAGGAAAGTTCAGATGAAATGACTAGATTATGAGAGCTGTAGCTTAACTGTGGATCAATCATGTGACGGATAAATAATTTGAAAATACTGCTATACTGTAGGCAGGTACAGTGTGGTTGGAGGAAGTAGGTGGCTGAGGGCATGATTTGGGAGTTTATATTTTGTCCGTGGATCCTTATCTTCTCTCTGCTTCCTGGTTTCCCTGAGCTGGGCAGTTTTCTTCTGCTATACCTCTCTGCCATGATGTTCTGCCTCACTTAAACCCACAGCAAATGAATCAGTCGGCTGATCATGGACTGAACCTCTGAAATCATGAGTCCCCACTGTGGGGGTGGGGGGAGACTCCCTAGTGGCAATGACTGAGAAAGCTGAAACAATGGCAGTCATCCAAAAGACCCAACAGTGGTTAAATGGAGAGGCCTGAATGCAAGACAGCAGGGTGCACCCCTAAGCAGGATTCAGGAGTTGGGCTATCTCTGACCTCTGCCGGTTTCACTGCTCCTATCCAGTCAGGATTTAAGCTATCTCTAGCACCTCCCTCTCAATCGCCGCCCACATGGAGCTGCTAGTGTTTACCAAGCACTTCACATGCTTTATTTAATTGTCTAAAAACTATACTAGCTCCATTCTGCATGGTATAGATTTAGTCAGATTTCAAAGGTCATTCTCATTTTCTATTAGTCTTCCCTTTCCAGTATTAATATTTCTACCTTCTCCATTCCAAGTGGATGAAACTCATCTCAGTTAAAAACCAAACGAACAAAAAGTCCCCAAGTGTCCAAGGTGCCAAAGTGTTCCGGTGTTTGTCCTTTCCTTCACACCACTGCCTTATTTTGCCAGACTAAGGTGTTCTTTTCTATTCCCGCCCCCAAGTGTACATTTTCTATAAGTCTCACCTCCTCTATGAAGCAATTCACAAGCACTTAACCCCATCTTTTCCTCTACTAACTTTAAGAGTATACATTTTTTCAGTACCACATTTGACATTTTCTTGTTAGCTTTCATATGTCCTTTTTCCCAAGACAATTTTAAGTGCTTTGTTTTTAGAACTTCAGTGGTTGCTCATACACCTACCTGTATGTCCTACTCAGCTATTAAACAGATGCTCAACTAATTCTGCTGGAACAATTGATCCTAAATTCTGGATTTGGGGTGCAGATATATGTATAGAAGAAGAATTATATTTTATGGGTCTTGGAAATTGATGTTAACACTTTAAGGGAGTCAGCCTGCGTATCAGCAATGCTGCCTTTAATGCCTATCTTCTATTAAGCAGAAGATAGTTATTACCTTTGTGTCTCATAGGAGAAAACAGGGAAAGGAAGTGAAGAATTACTTACATGCACCATATGTACAGCCATCTTGCCCTTGACAGGAAACATTTTGTGCAAAAATGCATTTCCTTTCTATGTTCTCTGCCAACCAACTAGAGAAGATTCTAGTTGTGGAAAGTCTCATCCATCATTGGAAGGAATAGCGTTTAGAGAAATTCAAGGTACTATTCCACCTCTGGTAAGCAAATTGGTTTTCTTAGCTTTTGGAAAGGCCATGGTCACCCTTCTTTTAGTATGATCATAGTTTAAATGCTCTTAATCTGCTATATATATATTTTTTCAGACTACCAACACCAAAGGGCCCTTCCCACCACTTCCACTAATCAGTCCTTGCACAGTCAGTTTTCACATTCTCATGCTTAGGAAACCCTCCCAGGTCAGAAGATTTCTCTCTCCTACAGCTCTTATCACATGCTGCTGTGCATTAAAGTGATTCATGCAATTACTGTGCAATGTTACTCCTCCAACTACTGTGAGCAATTGGAGAGGTACAAAGGGTCCTTTATCTTCAGCCCACTCAACAGGCCTTGTTCAGTGACTTCCACATATTGGATGCTAAATGGATTTTTTTGCTGAATGAGTTTCCCTTTCCTGTTGGTTGTTGGTGGATATTTTTGAAATTTAGACGGAACATTTAATATTCATAAAAAATAAGCTCCCTGGGGAAGCATTTCTTTTAACTTTTGAAAAGTGAACTTTATGTTACTTTGAAGTTCTATTCTAAAGTGTTCCTTATTTCATTTTAGACAGAGAAGGAAAAGAGTAGCAAAGAGCACAATGTAATCAAGAACACCATTTAATCAAGGTGACATTCAATTCAACTCAAAATTACTAATATCCCAACTTGCTATGAGTAGGTGGAGTATAAAACACATTTCCAGCTTTCTCTTCCTTTGTAAATGCATTAGCTTGTACATTGATGCTATACTATAGTGCTACTCCAAACAGAATTCTTGGTGACACTAACTTTTGTTCACCAGTTTAAGAAGCCCGGCAGAGACAGACCATATCTTTAGGGAAAAATGCTTTTAGTTTTCTGATTATGTTTGGGATTAAAATATATTTTAAATTACTTAAATCTCTTATTAAGAAATGAACAAGTGTTGGGTTGATTGCCCCAGAATGTCCTGCTAGTTTGAGGAATACTGGTTAAGTATTCAAAATTTTTAGCAACCTTCCCCTCCTCCAACTTAGATTTCTGAAGTCTTTGGGCACTTAGATGCAGGTATAACAGAGGGGTTATAGTAAAGCAGATATTTTGATCAAAGTATATGCTGTTAGTTAATTTTTGTTTGGACAGATTTGAAAAGAACAATTTGTAGAAAAATAGCCAGAAGAAAAAAAAGAAAGAAAAAAATTATTTTTAATAAAAGAGTTTCATGAAGACTTTTCTTCATAACAAACAAAGAAGAATAGACACTAACCCTAAACACACTCCCAAATATCTGACCCATCTACCATAGTATGAACAGGTAGATGGGTCAGGTATTTGGGAAATCCTCCCTGATATCCATATTCCTCTTATTTTATATATATAAGAGAGAGAGAGAGAGAGAGAGAGAGAGAGAGAG